TTTAACCTTAAAAGGTAAAGGAAAAAAATTCCCCTCGCACATATGTGCTAGTCGTTCCGACTCTAGGGGGCGGTGCGAACCTCCATTTCAAAGCCAAAGAGCCAGTGCTGTCCAAAGACATCTCCGTGGTCATGTGGCTGGCATGACTAAACCCTGAAGGTGCATGGAACGCTGTTACCTTCCCACCAAAGCTGGTCCCTATTTTTCTACTTGCATCTTTTACATACTTTCGAACTGCTAGGTTGGCAGAAGCTGGGACAAGTAACAGGAGCTCACTCCGTTATGCAGCACTAGGGATTCAAACCGCAGACCTGTCTGATCGACAAACTAAGTGTTTTAGCCACTGAGCCACCACGTCCCTTTTAACCCTAGAACCTCCTAAATACTGTGGGCAACGGGCTAGAATTGCTAGCGGGGTTGGAAGGGAGATTAGTACACCATAGAGAGGTCCTGCATAGAGAGATCCTGGCAGGGATCCACCCAATCAGAACTCAGGTGTCTGTCAATAAGATATGCCAGAAAGGTTTGGCCGACCACCGCTGGATGAAAAACATATGCATCTGTGTTGGACGGGGAGGGCAATGTAACATCTCACCTCTCGCCATTCTTTGTCTGCCGTTTCTTGAATGTAAACAATCACCACTGTAAGAACAAGGAAAACATTCAGTGAAAGTTGCATATGCTTCAAGGCCTCCTTGATGTGGTCCCTGTTGCTACTTGTTTTTAATTTTATGCATGCATAGAAGCCCATTTCTTTGATATCACACTCACAATGCACCTGTGGGTGCCTCAATACACCCCCCCCCCTTCACTGACGCTGGCTGCTATTTCTAATAAAAAAGCCATTTTGGAGAAGAGAATTTGGAATGGAAAAAGGAGGGAGGGAAATGTAATTTTTTTTCTCGGTTTTCTGTTATTCTTGCCGTGAACCATCATCCGGTCTTTTTTTCTTCTTCTTCTTTTGTAGTAGTCAAAACATGTGTTGTTTCTCTCCAGTATTAAGTGTTAATTAAGCTCACACATAATGTTTTCCTCTCTGAGTCAAGATCTCTGTATGTTTGCATCATATAGATGGGGAAAGAGTGCTATTCAGTAGTAAACAACATGAAAAGATTTGAGGCTGAATGTGAAACATTTCTAAGGCTGGAGAAACCCGTTTTTAAAAGCAAATGAGCTGCTGCCAGTCAGCCTAGATAACATCGAGCCAAAAAAACCAATGATTTAATTCAGTAATAAGTAGTGTTAAATGTTCCCTAAGTACATGGCATTGATTGGCTAGCGCAAGTGAGATTTATTTTACTTATTAGATATAGCCACTGCCACAATCTTATGACTCTCAGCTATTTACAGGGGAAACATCCATAATAAAATAGTGCAATAGAAATAATTATCCTATAATTATAGAATTGGTTATAATCATCTAACAGATGTTTGAAATTATCTTAAAACAAGACCACATAAACAGTTCTACACTGTTATCTTAAGCATTTAAAAGAACTACTGGAATAGCTCGGGTTTAGCTTGCTTCTGAAAGACCAAGGAGGTTGGAACAAGCCTGATTTCTGGTGATAGAAGTATTTTATAACAAGGGCCCATAATGGAGAGGCATCCTCTAGCCTTAATTCTATAATCTCTTGGTAGTGAGGGACCACCAAAAGTTTCCCCCTGATTGCTGTTATTGGACAGATTCTATTATGCATTTGAGCTTCCTGTTCCTGTGCAAGAACATGTGTTCTATTGGCTGTTGTCAGATTCCTATGGGGTAATGTAAGGGTTATGTAGGGGTCATAGCTGGCTCTATAGGCAAAAGATGTAATGCGAATCCTAGGTGTTTGTCTGAGCTAAGTTTGATTGAAGTTTGGACTGCTCTGAAAGGCTGTTGGGCAATTTCTACTGTAGCTTAATGGCTTTTGTCCTGTTTTGGCTCTTGGTTGAGGGTATTTGCTTATGAGCAAAAAGCTCTTTATCTCTTAAGGGCTGACATCTGCTGTGTGCTATTAAGAAAATGTGGGGGCTGCTTTCTGCCTCTAAAAATATATGCTTCTCCATTTCTCATTTAGGGAAATATAATATTCTGCCTTTTTAATATTTTCCAACATATTTCATTCTTCTGGGAGAGGGTGTAGGTGCTACCTTTCTACAGCAGTTATCTTACCGATACATAATTGATCCTGCTGGTTTTTTGAGTTGCATGTCATTCAGTGGTGAGTTTCATTTTTTTTAAGAAACTCTTCTGTGGGTGTGGCCTGCTTTGTGGGAGTGGCTTGCTGCTCATGTGACTGGGTGGGAATGGCTTG